GAAGACCATTTTTTTTTTTTTACTGGTCAGATTTTTGTTTCTAATCTATATTTATTTCACCAAATTGTTATTATCTTCTCATTTTTTTAAAGACTGATTTATTTAATTTTATTAATTATTATTGTTATTTAATTTGCCATAGGGCACATGAGCTCACAGAGAGACAGAGAATACAAGCTTCTAAGTCTGGGACTCGAACTGGGGTCAGTCATGTGTAATCCAGCACCTTTAGCACCATGCCACCTGCTGGCCCTTCATTTTGTTTTCTGATGTTTCACCTGTGTTGGTGTTTAATTATCAGCCTAATTGTAAAGTATATCTTTTGACATGCTTACAGTGCTTATAGCTAAACATGTAGTCAGGTACTTAGCAAATACTTGGTATATGGATGATGTTGAATAACCAGATAATTTGTGTGAATGGTGCAGAGGCAGAGTGACAGGAGAGTGCAGGCAGGGTCCGAAAACTGGACTCACTTGCATTCTCTGGCCTAAGAAACATAAATGATGGCTACGCCAGCACTAGCTATGGTTCATTGAGTTCCTGCTACTGGGCACCGTGGTAGTTTCTTTGTTCTCACAACCCTACCAGTAAGTGTTACCCATGTAGTACTAAGAAAAAATGAAACTCCATGAGGTTGAGTGGCTCTACCCTCCCAGACCTGAGAGCCCCGCTCACCTGAATCTGGTTTATGATCTACTGCCAGCACCCTTTTTATCAGTTTTGGAAAACTCGTCACTGTCTTCGTTTCAAGACAGAGGTGGGATAAGTCTGGACAGGACCTGATTAGGGGATCCTTTGACATGTTTATCCCATTCAGAGGGTCATGTTCTCTTCTCTTGGCTTCTCCAGGCACTGGGAAGACCTCAACTCTGGTCAAGTATGCTGAGAAATGGTCTGGGAGTAGGTTTCTGTATGTGACATTCAACAAGAGCATCGCAAAGCAGGCCGAGCTTGTCTTCCCCAGCAACGTTATCTGCAAAACCTTTCATTCCATGGCCTATGGACACATTGGGCGGAAGTGAGCATCCTGTGGCCAGCATCACTGGGTCTTTTACTGCTTTTCACATGATTATCGTGATCACATGTGAATTTACACCACAGTGACACTAAGAACATGTAATGCTTTTATCTCCATTATAGGCAAGAAAGATAAACATGGTTTAGTGATCTTCACTTTTATCTTGTGAAAATGTTGGGTCATCCGAAAAGTCATGATATGCGTCATGATTTTTTTTGACAACCCAGTACATTGTTTATAAATAACAATATCTAGCTGAAAGGGATATTCTCATTTCTCTGGAACTGAGGGTCAGAAAGTCAAAATGATTTGTTAAAAGTTCAGGTTATCACAGACCTTGATCAGTAAAGTGTTTTGTGGTGGGTGTGAGGCAGAGGAGGACTCGGCCATGGTACATTTTCCCCAGATTTCCTGGACATGAGCCTTCGGAGAACTTTATATGTCCCCCTGGGAGGGCCTCTTGGAGTCTGGGCCACACCTTGGGATAGCAGTATCTGCCATGAGCTTCATCATCTTAGATGTGAGTTAGATGTCAATTCCTGAGAACCTACCATTGGCTATTTCAAATCAGTTGTAACCTTTGCAGAACTCTGGCTTTTTAAAAATTCTGCCTCATATGTATGTGATGCATGTAGGTACCTGTGTGTCATTCTAGAATAGACAGTGGGGGAGACACTAAGTGCTATCATATCAGCAGGGCCAATTACTATGCATTTGGGAATGCCTTACAGGTACCAATTGAAGAAAAAGTTGAATCTCTTCAAATTAACACCCTTCATGGTCAATTCTGTCCTCGCTGAAGGGAAAGGTGGATTCATAAGGGCCAAGCTAGTGTGTAAGACTTTGGAAAACTTCTTTGCCTCAGCTGATGAAGAGCTGACTATCGATCATGTGCCTATTTGGTGTAAGAACAGCCAAGGACAGAGGGTCATGGTCGAACAGAGTGAAAAACTGGTGAGTAATCTAAGTGTCTTAAGTATTAAGAATCTAGGGATGAGAGAGAACAGAGTTGGCATGGTACAGGATTAATTCCATTGTTCATTTCTTCAGTACTGCTCATAGAAAGTTTAAGGTGGAAGAGTGAGACTATAGGCCTATGATTACAACTTAGTTGTATTTTCTCTTGTGAATAACACTCATAGACAACTCAGTTAGTCCTCAGAATAGTTTTCCCCTGTAACAAATGAGACACAGACATTGAATGACCTGCTCAAGATTTATAAGAGCTTGTCATTGGGTCTTCTGGACCTAGAATCTGATCTTATCTGAAGATTGGGAATCCCTTTTCTAATTTTTTTTTTTAATTGTGCTATAGGGTGTGTGCACTTGCTGAAGAGACACACAGAGAGAAAGGTAGAGTGAAAAAGCACCTCCTCAAGGGGATGACCACGCTGTAATTCCTTCATCTCCATTCTCCTCGGGATTTTGGGCATGCACGCACACATATCCGGTGTATTTTTCAAGCCTCCTGGTCCAGGATTTGAATCACAAAGTTGTACATGTGGGATCCAGCTGTCTTAACCACTATGTCACCTGGCTGGCCCTCTGATTTCTTTTATTATTGATCCTATATAGATTTTGCTAGTGGAAAAGTTAGTTTCTTATTTTAATCAACCCTTTTCAGTAGTTTGCCATTATGTTTATGAATTAAGTATCAGTCATAAATCTTAAAAAGTAATTAGGCCTTTTCTGGTTCAACACCTGTTGTGATCTCTGTCGTGGCATTGGTATGGCCCCCACTTCTTACTCATCTTAGCATTTGAGACTCTTTATAGTGTTAAAAGACTGTGGTGAGGAGGTCAGCCCTGTAACCTAGTAGTTAAAGGAGTCAGTTCCCATATGGTTGATTGTAGTTTGAATCCTAGCCCGGAGGACTTGAAAAACAAAACATACAGGGTACATGTTCATGTGTATCCAAAATCCCAAAAAGATGCAGAAATGGAGGAGAAACAATCATATTATATCCGTACCTCATTGGTGGGTGCTTGCTCCCTGTCCTTCTCTTTGTTTCTGTTACTCTGTTTCTCTGGCAAGCTCAAGTGCTCTCTGGCATTTAAAATAAATAAATAAAATAAGGCTATCATGGGGCCAGCCCAGGGGCACAGTAGTAGTATACTGTTCAAGTGATGCTGGGTCTATATGGAGGATCACAGGTTCAGTTCCTAGGTCAGCCTGTACACACCAGGTGTATGTGTGCCCATGATTCTGGTTGGCTGGAAAAGCTGGGGGTCTTTGCGGGATGAGACCCTGTTCAGGGTGCTTGTCTTTCTTTTACTCTCTCTCTCCTATGCAAGAAATAAACTTAAATAAAAGCGGGGGGCGGGGAGCTGTCATGGAGCTTTCAGAAATTAGGAAGGTGCCTGCTGCTACCTGTTTTGTGATACGGTCTTTGATTCAACTGCCATGTGTAGAAATGAAAGTGATTTCGGGTGCTGCTTTTTCCAGGGTTTTGCTGTGGGTTAGTTATGGTATCTCTTATTTTCTAGAATGGTGTCCTTGAAGCTAGTCGACTCTGGGACAACATGCGGAAGCTGGGAGAATGCAAAGAAGATGCTTATCAGATGACTCATGATGGTAGGCGTGTGTCCAGAGCACAGGTTTGCTAAGTGGACCTGCTCTCCTGTGGGTTATGATTCTTGCTACTCCCTTCTTTCAGGCTATCTGAAACTCTGGCAGCTGAGCAAGCCTTTGCTGGCCTCTTTTGACGCCATCTTTGTGGATGAGGCCCAGGACTGTACCCCAGGTGATAAACTATTCAGGACATCAGTAGTCTCAAATACCTAAAACTGCATCATGAATACGTAAGAAGACATGTGTGTGAAATAAGTTGATTATTGTTATTTGTAGTAGAGGAGAGGAGCAAATGATACTAGTCACTCAGAAGTCTTTTTTATTTGACTTATGATTTCAAGGGTTATCTCTCCTCACCCAAGGAGAATTTATCTTGCTCCACACATTTTGCTTAGGTGGTTAAAATACTGATAAAGTTGAGATCCGAGACTCGTGCCAAATGGAGAAGACAGCTTAAAGGGAGAATTTGTGTTGTATATTTCTCAAAAAGTTTAATAGAGAATTGGCCTGTTTTAGGAGTATGGCTTCTAAGCCTTTTTTGAGTGTGATTTTTTTTTTTCTTTGAGAGGTTTTTCACTATAGGGCATGTGCGCTCACCAGACAGACAGAGAGAGACAGAAAGCGAGAAATCACCCCTCAGGGGGGATGGCCATGCCACAATCCCTTCTCCTCCATTCTTCTCTCGGGATCTTGGGCACGCACGCACACGCGACCGGCGTGGGTTTTAAGCCACCGGGTCTGGGACACGAACTGCGGTCGACACGTGGGAGTCCAGCGACATAGCCATTACACTAACTGCTGGTTCCCTTGAGTGTGATTTTTATACTATTAGAGAAGATTATTTGCCTCATTTTATATTTGTCTGTTTTCATGTACTCACTAATTTATTCAGGACTAAAAATAATCTGCATTCATAGGGTGAGAAATGGTTTCTTTTATCCACTGTGAGATTGCTTAGATGGAGTGTGCCTGTCCTGTAGGAAAAGACAGCTGTGTTGCCCAGTGTGATTAACTTTTCATCTCTTTCTTTCTTAAATGTGGTTTCTCCTTGCTGCATGAGCTAGAGTTCTAGGGATCTCAAACTTTTCTTTTACTGGCTGCAGCTATCATGAATATCGTTCTGTCCCAGCCATGTGGGAAGATCTTTGTCGGAGACCCGCACCAGCAGATCTACACCTTCCGTGGGGCTGTCAATGCTCTGTTCACCGTCCCCCACACACACGTCTTTTATCTCACACAGGTAAGAGCAATCAGAGGCGTATAAGAAACCATTGTATTTCCCCTCTTATTTTATGCTTCAGGCACTGTGTAAAGTGTTATGCTAGGTTCACAGCAGACGGCAAATCCTTGCTTTTATGCAGTGGTTCTCAAAAGTGTGGTTCTCAGGGAGTCTGCAATGTCAAAACTATTTTCAACATAGTTATTGGTCTTTTTCGCTGTTGATGGTGATTAAAGCGCCTAGCACTTTAGCTTGAATCAAGGCATTGGCACAGACTAGCAGTGTTTGTATTCTTTTAGTGCTTTCCGAGACAGTGGTGATATAATGCTCTGTGATGCTGAGGCCCCATGGGAAGGTCCCAGGTTGATGTCCTGTGCACTTCAGACATGTGCCTGTGATCCTGATTGGCTGAGGCTTAGATTGTGATGTGAAGACTCTATTGAAGGTTCTCACCTCCCTGCCCTCCTGTTCCTTTCATGGATGCAGTAAATAAATTTTTAAAAATATTTATTTATTTATTTCCATTTGTTGTTGTTGTTATTATTATTATTGTTGTTATTATTATTAATTTTACCAGAAAGACACACAGAGAGAGAGGGAAAGCACGAAAGCAAGCGGCCAGGTCTGGGACTCAAACTGCTGTCGGCCTTGTGGGAATCCAGCACCTCCAACCACCACACCAAATACAGTCCCATCAATAAATAAATTTTTAAAAAACAATTAATGTGGGACCATCAGGTGGCATGGTAGTTAAAGCGCTGGACTCCCACATGACTGACCACGGTTCTAATCCTGGACCAGGTGAGGTGACTTGCTTTCTCACTTTCCCTTTCTCTCTCTCTGTCTTTCTCTAGTCAAGTTAGAAAAAAATAACGAATGTAATTAATTAAATAAATCTTTAAAAAAGGAATTAATGTAAGAATCTCCTTGATGATGCCACAAAAATGATTAATTATTTTAACTATTGATCGTTGAGTCTATCTTTTGAATATTTTCTGTGCTGGAATGGAAAATTACACAGAGGAATTGAACTATGGACTGAAGCATGACGATTATCTGAGGAGGAACACTGTCACAACTGAACTGTAAGCAGGACGGGCTGCTTTTCTCTTGCACCATTTTAAGAATAGCTTACAGACCAGCTCTGTTTATTCAGACTTGTTTATGTGGCATTAATCAAGATGAATGAAGTGAGCTGTGACTTCAAGGAAAACAACTGACAGTGTTTGTTTCTCAACATAACATTCTTGCTTTCAAGTGAAATTAAAATTTCAGAAAAACTTGCATATGTCACAGTGAGAGAGAGCTCAGTGTCCTTGATTTTGTGAAAAGGCTATTAAATATTCCTCCCTTTTCAATTACATCTGCTTCAGGCTGAACAGTCTTTGTAAACTTCTGCCAAGACAGTGCCTCATGACAGCTGAATACAGATGTAAGTCTGAGAAGCAGCTGTCTTCCATTAGGCCTGGCATTAAAGAGATTTACAAAAATGTAAAACAGTACGATTCTTGCTAAATTTTTTGTTTGTTTTGGAAATAGTTGTGTTTCAGTAAATATGTTCTTTATGCTATTATGTATTAAGTTTTTTTTTTTAACAAATTAGTTCCTAATATGGTAAATATAGGCAGAGATAGCTTACACGAATACCTCACTGGAGTTTAAAAGCGTGAAGGGTTGTGAAACCAGATGTTTGAGAACCACTGCTTTAAATAAAGTCACTTTCAGTTAGAGGCTATGAGATGTGTCACTTGTATTAAAGTGTCAGCTCCACCGTGTTGTATTATCGAATGGGGTCTGTAGGCTTGTCTCTGATTCTCTTCCCTTCCATTTCTGTCTGCTGTAGTGATTTAGGGTAGCATCAGCTCAGAGTAGTTTTTGTTTTTTTCTTAATATTTTTAGGACAGTGTCAGATTTCCCAAAAAATTGAGATGATAGTACAGAGTTCCCAGTTGCCCTGCACTCAATTAACCCTATTATTAGTATCTTTTGATCGTTGAGTCTATCTTTTGAATATTTTCTGTGCTGGAATGGAAAATTACACAGAGGAATTGAACTATGGACTGAAGCATGACGATTATCTGAGGAGGAACACTGTCACAACTGAACTGTAAGCAGGACGGGCTGCTTTTCTCTTGCACCATTTTAAGAATAGCTTACAGACCAGCTCTGTTTATTCAGACTTGTTTATGTGGCATTAATCAAGATGAATGAAGTGAGCTGTGACTTCAAGGAAAACAACTGACAGTGTTTGTTTCTCAACATAACATTCTTGCTTTCAAGTGAAATTAAAATTTCAGAAAAACTTGCATATGTCACAGTGAGAGAGAGCTCAGTGTCCTTGATTTTGTGAAAAGGCTATTAAATATTCCTCCCTTTTCAATTACATCTGCTTCAGGCTGAACAGTCTTTGTAAACTTCTGCCAAGACAGTGCCTCATGACAGCTGAATACAGATGTAAGTCTGAGAAGCAGCTGTCTTCCATTAGGCCTGGCATTAAAGAGATTTACAAAAATGTAAAACAGTACGATTCTTGCTAAATTTTTTGTTTGTTTTGGAAATAGTTGTGTTTCAGTAAATATGTTCTTTATGCTATTATGTATTAAGTTTTTTTTTTTAACAAATTAGTTCCTAATATGGTAAATATAGGCAGAGATAGCTTACACGAATACCTCACTGGAGTTTAAAAGCGTGAAGGGTTGTGAAACCAGATGTTTGAGAACCACTGCTTTAAATAAAGTCACTTTCAGTTAGAGGCTATGAGATGTGTCACTTGTATTAAAGTGTCAGCTCCACCGTGTTGTATTATCGAATGGGGTCTGTAGGCTTGTCTCTGATTCTCTTCCCTTCCATTTCTGTCTGCTGTAGTGATTTAGGGTAGCATCAGCTCAGAGTAGTTTTTGTTTTTTTCTTAATATTTTTAGGACAGTGTCAGATTTCCCAAAAAATTGAGATGATAGTACAGAGTTCCCAGTTGCCCTGCACTCAATTAACCCTATTATTAGTATCTTTTTTTTAATTGCCAGAGGGCGCATGTGCTTGCTAAAGAGAAAACATGGTCACACCACCATCCTTCTTCCTCCAGTCTTCCTTCCCATCAGGATTTTTTTTTTGAGCATGCACACATATGCACCCAGTGTGTTTTTCAAGCTGTCAGGGTGAGGTTCAAACCACAGTCAACCATGAAGAATCTAATTCCCTTTAATGCTGAGCTAGGGGGCTAGCTCAGTTATCATTATCTTAATATTCTACATGAATGTGGGACACTTGCCATGAGTAATGAGCCAGTATTGATATGTTTATTGATTTTACAGTTTGGGTTATGGTTCAGTCAGAATAGTTCTTTAGCAACAAAGTACTGTTTGTTGAAAGTCTAGTTTTTCTTTGACTATATTGTTTTACCAGAGCACATAATACTTTATTACCTTAAGTTATGAATACACGGAAAAAGGCAAGAAATACTGTGAGTTTGGGAAAGAATGATATCTTGCTAGCTGGAGTCATCTTAGAGATAGGGTCTTGGGCTGAGTTTTGAAGGATAAATACATTTTCTTTGTTTTTAAATTCATGACAGAGTGCACATGTGTACACATGCATGAGAGAGAGAGAGAAGCGCTGCTGACAGTGTTTCATCACACCACAATCCCCTTTTCATGGTTTTCTAGCTCAGAAGGATCTTGGGCACATGTAAACACAGCCAACATGTGTTCAAGCTGGCCCACAGTCAGCCATGTTGCTTTTAGCCCTGGGCTTTAGTTTGCTACCTACTGAGCCACTAAACTCAGCTGGGAAATAGGTGAATAAAATTTGATAGGTGAAAAAAATTTGCAGGCTCATAGAAAACAGCATGAGCCAAGCAGGGGAAGTATGGGGGATACTCAGGTAATGGAGATTCTGCTTATGGCTCGTTTGTGAAGGCCAGTGGTTCTCTCTTAATATTTTGTATAATTAAACTTTGCTAGATTTGGTTTGGAAAAAAGGGCAGATTTGCTTAAAAGAAATTCACTTTTGGCTTTGGGGGTTAGTGGAAGATACTATCTAAATTGTGAAGGATCTCAAAAGTGAATATATTACTTTTTTTGGTATGTATTGCTCTTTTGTAGCAATCTATTGGTTTTGGTGAGGCCAGACTTTGGCAGTGATGACAATGTGGATGCCTATGTCAGGGCAGGTTGCTGACTATTCCTTTTATTTTGTTACTCTCCAACAGAGTTTTAGATTTGGTGTGGAAATCGCATATGTGGGAGCTACTATCTTGGATGTCTGCAAGAGAGTAAGGAAAAAGACTTTGGTTGGAGGAAACCACCACAGTAAGATTTTCGGTTACTTTTATTTGCTATAAAACAGCTTTCCTTGGGACCAGCAGATGGTGTAATGGCTATGTTGCTGGACTCCCATGTAGTCAACCAAGTTTCGGGACCTGGGCCTGGTGGCTTAAACTCATGCCAGGCGCGTGTGCTTGCATGCCTAAGATCCCTAGAGGAGAATGGAGGAGAAGGGATTGCGGTGTGGCCGTCCCCAGGGGGTGATTTCTCACTTTTTGGCAAGCACACGCACCCTAGAGCAAAAAGAAAGAAGACACTCAAAAAAAAAAAAAAAAAAAAAAAAAAAAAACAAACCAGCTTTCCTCTTTATTTTGATTTGCCTTAGGGTTTGTGCTTTTTCCCCACAGGTGGCATTAGAGGGGATTCAAAGGGGCAAGTGGCTCTGTTGTCTCGGACTAATGCCAATGTGTTTGATGAAGCTGTCCGGGTGACTGAAGGAGAAGTACCTTCAAGGATACACTTGATTGGGGTAAGAGTACATTTCTGTTGACTGCTTCACACACAGAAATGTTGTAGATGAACACAGCCACTGGCCTCATTTGACTGAACTGGGATTGCTGTGCATGAAAGCACTTGGGTCCCAACTCTTCACCTAGCTGCACTGTGGCTACATCCCTTATACTTGGCCACTCTGACTGTGCAGTGGAACAGCCCTGTGAGTCAGACCCAAGGGGTATTCAGGATTGATCTCTTTCAATCTTTAAAAACAAATGCCCTTCTTCCCTTCACTGTGCCAGTGAGGCTGCTGGCACCTGCAGTCTTTGTGACTGTCCATGTCTGTCTGTGTGAGAACAGCTAACCGGACAGCACACTAGGAAGCAAGAGTCACTAGCAGCATGTGGAGTCAGACACCTGGTTCTAGCTCTGGCTCTGTCACTAGCTTTAATGTGGTTTGGGGCAAGTCACAACTTTCATGTGCCTCAATCTCTCCACTTCTAAAGTAAAAATGATGCCTTTCTTTTACCTGTTTCATGTGGAAGTTGGGATTAAATGATGTGTTTTTTGGCATTTTTAACTTTAAAGCCAAGTTATATGGCACAAGGTATTTACTCATTCATTGATGAAAAAGTATTTTCACAAAAAATTTGCTCGAGTGAGCCTGTGCTTGCCAGAGAGGGACATGTGGGAAGTGAGAAAGCATCCCCTTGGGGGATGGCTATGCCACAATCCCCTTTCCTCCATTTCTCCCTCTGGGATTTTGGGCACACGTGCACTCATGCCTGGCATGTTTGTCAATTCTCTGGATTCAGGACTTGAGCTGTGCAGTCGGCCATTTAAGATCCAGCGTCTATAATCACCATGCAACTGGCTGACCTGAAAAAAGTATTTTTGGGGGGCCTACCATATGGTAGGTACTCAGATGTCTGAATCATAATCCAAAGATATTTTCTCATTTGTAAAGATTATATAACCATGGGGCCCACAGGCGGCATGGTGATTAAGGTCTCTGGACTTGCACATGGCTAATCGCAGTTGGAGTCCCAGACCTGGCGGCTTGCTTTCTTGCTTTCCCTCCCTCTCTCTTTTTCTCTATGGTCAAACTAAAATAAATAAATAAAAAGTTAAATAAAAATCATTCAAAAAAACAGATTATATAACCATGTTATAGGAAATTTGGATACCGAAAGAGGAAAAAACCCCCTACATAATCCCAGTTTTTCATAAAATGATTTTCATTTTTGCTAATTATTTTTGTCTTCGTTCTTATAGATACATATTTTTGCATAATTGCAGTTAGAGTATACATAAAAACATGCCATTTTTCACTCGATACATAAGTACATTTTCTTTCATTGCTATATTAATGACAGTAGTATTTCAACTACTGAATATAGTATAATGTAGTCATTTTCATTATCATAAGAGGGTATTTTTTGGAATATCATTCTTGCTGGGCATAATATAAAGTAAGTTGTTCTCTTCTTCCTCTTACATCCATTTATTGCCTGTAGCATGTATCATTGCACCTGATCACATACCTGGTTGTGAGTTGTAATGTGAGTGTCTTATTTCTGTCTCTGCTATATGCTGGCATCGCTTGTGTCCCCGGTTGTGTCTCTCTGTCTTCTGTGCGGGGCCTGGTGCCTGTTCAGTGGTGGACTCACAGCCAGTGCTCAGCACTGGGTCCTTAGGTAGTGCTGGGCTGAACTATAGCCCCATCAGGCCTGCTTCTCCAGCAGCTGGCCTTCTGAAATTAGTCTCTGAACCTATAGTCATCCTCTAGTTCTTTTCCCACACGAAACAATGGTAAGTAAGATTCGGTTAACACTTTGTATTCAAATACTGTTTGTATTCTTCTTTGCCACCATTTAAATTTCTAAGAGGGAGACTTAAATTCCCTTTTTATTGATAAGGAAGTAATGTAAGGTTGCCAGCAAGTAGAATGGTGGTGAAGGCACTGGACATGCCCACATGGCCAACCACAGTTTGAATCCTGGACCTGGAGACTTGCTTTCTCTCTCTCTCTCTCTCTCTCTCTCTCTCTGTGTGTGTGTATCAAATTAAAATAAATGAATGAATAAATAAAATTAAATAATATTTTTAAAAGATAAAGCAATGTGTAGCTACATTTTGCCTTAAAAAAAAAACAGTAAAAGTTTTCAGGTAGCAGTCAAAACTTAGATTCTACCAACTTGAGTTTTCAGGCTGCTTTGTAGCCTAGTGCTTTGAGCTTGACGAAGTTCCCTGCTTACTGTCTGTGTTTTGAGATTTGCTTCTAAGAAACCATCTCATTTCAAAATTCCATCTCTGTATTTGCTTTGTTTTGTTAAAACAACAAAAACAAAACAAAACAAAGAAACAAAAATCCCACCAAAAAACTTTTTCAGGGGATTAAATCATTTGGATTGGACAGAATCATTGATATTTGGATCCTTCTTCAGCCAGAGGAAGAACGAAAGAAACGTGAGTACCCACTGGCCCGGTGCAGTGAAAGCAAGCACACCAGTGGCAGGGATGGGAAAGGTGTGGGCCAGCTCCGAGCAGGAGCGCTCTTATTTTCCTTCCTGAGAAGGAGGAGCTAGCGGTGTTCTTTTCCCATGACAAGTGGGATGCCTGAGGGCTCCTGTTCTTAGAGGTATGGACAGGTTTTTCCAGGTCCGTCTCTTAGTCTGTTTCTTCCTACTGTTGGTCCCTTAGACTGTCTTTCCCCCTCATGTTTCTGTCTTCCTGGGCAACTTCACGTATTGACATTTCCATGTAGACCCCAAATGATAGCTTCTAACATTTCCATGGCGCTTTTCCTTTTCGGTTGACTGCGCTATTTCCAATCTGGGTGAAGTAGGTGAGTGTAGGGTTCATGATCCTCAGTTGGAGACGGAGAGGCTACCGCACTGACTTGCCCAGGGTCACACAGTGAGTTAGTGATGCAGGCAGGGCTGGAACCTGGGTCTCCCACCTTTAAGATCATCATTCTCATGCTGTTGGTTAGGGATGTGGAGCCGCCGCTGCCATCTGTTTGTGTAGCCTGTGTCACGGCAACCTCTGTGTATTCTCCTTAGGAAACCTCTTCATTAAAGACAAATTTATCAGAAGATGGGTGCACAAAGAAGGCTTCAGTGGCTTCAAGAGGTACGTGACTGCTGCTGAGGACAAGGAGCTTGAAGCAAAGATTGCAGTAGTTGAGAAGTATAATATCAGAATTCCAGAACTGGTGGAAAGGATAGAGAGATGCCACATAGAGGATCGAGACTTTGCAGGTATGGAAAAGAATTGATTCTTAACCTCCCACCAGGAGCGGTTAGTCTTCTGGTGTGTCTTACCTATGTGTGATCAGGCATGGCTTTGTTGTCTAAAAGCAGGAGAGGCAGAGATGTCCTCCTTCCTTCGGGCACTTTGTATGTGTTCTACTTCCACACAAGGAGAATGGGGTTTCCTAGTTACAGCTCTGCAGCATCTAACTTTGATCAAGCCATATAACCCTTTCCTGGGCCTCTGTCCTTCTATGTGTAAAATATTGGGGTGGGTTAAGTCACTGACCTCTGGAATGTGATTCTAGGACATACTAATTCCTACAACTAGTTTTCTATATTTCCTCTCATTCTTTTTTTTTTTTTCTTTTGTTACTATAGTTTTCTTTCTCCTTTTCCCCCCAAAGCTACACAATAAGCAAGAAAACATAGAGTTTTATAAGTAAAGTCAGACATATATACTTTTTTAGTCTCTCATTTCTTTTCCTATGATACCCCTCCCCCAAATTTAACTGTGTGTTGTGTTGTTTTTTTGTTTGTTTGTTTTCTAGAGTACATTTTGGGCACTGTGCATAAAGCCAAAGGCTTGGAGTTTGACACTGTGCATGTTTTAGATGATTTTGTGAAAGTGCCTTGTGCCAGGCATAACCTTGCCCAGCTGCCCCACTTCCGAGTAGGTAAGGAGACCGTTCACTTGTGGAGTACTCTGGGTTAGCAGTTCAGACTTGACTGATGCTTTCTTTTGACTGCCTTGATCTTTGTCAGATGGTATGGCTTCTTGGTAGGGTCCATCTCGGGTCGTTGGAAAAGTCATGACTCATTTTTGCGTAGAAAAACAGAAAAATACATCATTCTTTTCTGACGACCCAATAGATGGGGGGAAAACCCATTTCTTAGTCCTAAGCTTCTTATTCTTACACTGTTTTTTAGCAAAACCAAACTTCTGTGGAGTGCACTTCTCCAGGGAATGCCCATAGGCAGTTGTGTTGGTAGTGGTCCTGTGAACACACTGCTATTTAGCTTGGAATTTTTATCATCATGCATTGCATGTCCCAGCCTCATATGTAAATCATTCAGTTTACCTGTTCACCAAGGTACTTTCTTTAAATTAAGTGCTCTTCTTTTTACTAAAGAGATCAGAAAGTGATAAAAGATGAAATAGTAAGACTCTTTAGCATTTGTCTTTCTATACATTTTTACTGAAGGCTAGTTGTTAAACTGTAGGCTTCAGTGTTATTATTATTTTGGCTTTAAATCTTAGAAGAAAGCCATTCGAGGTTCCCCCCAGACACACAAATGCTCTCTATTAACTGTAGATTCAACATTTAGGCAGAGCCTAGGTTGGAATACCAAAAATACAAACAGTAAACATTCATTGCCTGTGGTGAATATGGTCATGAAATGAGGAAGAGACACAGGGTCGAAGATCAAATGGAGTGGAGTGAGGAAAGGAAGTGCTCCAGGGGGTAGCAGTTATAGATAGTAGAGATAGCTACTAAACTAGAGCTTTTAGTGGTAGAAGTCTGTCTGTTATACCATTACTTTTTTTCCCCTGTTGGTTGGCATGTATACACCCTTAACTTTTTTTGGCAGTAGTTTTATTGAAATATACAAAATCCATGCATTTAAAGTGCCTAACAGTGGCTTTTAGTATCTCCTCAGAACAGCTGCTCCTTATTGAGTTCTTGTCATTATGTTAGGTTTGGTGACAAGGAAGGTGCAAAGAAGAGGTGTGAGGTGGACAGCTAAGTCTTGTAAATGTGTTTTTCTTCCCTGTTGTCCTGTGACTACATAAGATATTTCCAGATTGAACTAAATAAGTCCAGAGAAGACAGTGAAAGGAAGTAGAAAGAACATGGATTTTGGACATGAATGGGTTTAGGTCTAACCTTTGATTAGCCATGGTCTTGTTTGTGCAAGTGACTTAACCTTTGTAAACCTCAGTGCTCCCACTTATGTCACAGGGTTATTGTGGAGAATGGGGTAATGAGCATACATATCCATCTCATACATCAGAGATGTTGAATAACCAGTTAGTACAGTCCCAAAATTTACTTTAGTAGGACTAAATAAAACTCCGTATTTTTTATAAGTCTGAGTGGTTTTTTTGGTGGGAGGGATGGATGGATGAGGAGTAGGAGACACTTAGATAAGAATGTAAGTTTCTTTAAGCAAACTTTTGAGTAAGTCTTTTTTTTCTTTACTTTCTTTAGAATCATTTTCTGAGGATGAATGGAATTTACTGTATGTTGCAGTAACTCGAGCCAAGAAGCGTCTCATCATGACCAAATCATTGGAAAACATTTTGACTTTGGCTGGGGTAAGAGGAACTGGTGTCATGAATTAATTTGATAATGTTTAGATTTCTTTGGTTTGAATAAGGGATTAAACGACAGAGCTTCAAAGGCCTTTTCATCAGGATCCTAGAATGGAAAAGAAGGGTTTCTTTCTTGAACACTCCAATTATTAGTCCAAGAAGCATTCTAACTGAAGAGATAAAAACATTTTTTTTCTAAATTTTTTCCTAATTCCCTTTTTTCTTTTTAAGAAAGATTTTGGCTATCAGGTGTGAGAAATCATCCCCCAGCGGGGATGGCCACACTGCAATTTCTTCTCCCTTCTCCTCCTGAGATCTTGGGTGGGCATGCATGCACACGTGCCTGGTGTGAGTCACTGGGTCCAGGACTCAGATGCAGTCAACTACATGGGAGTCCAGTGATGTAACCATCACGCCATCTGTTGGTCCCCCTAATTCCATTTTAAAAAATCTTTTTGTACTGTTAGCTGTGTTCATGTACTTCTTAATATCTCTCTTGCTTAATTGATTTCCAGCATTCTTAAGAGAAAAAAAGAAAAAGCAGAAACATTTTCTCCATCTAAACTTCCACCCTCATGCTCTCTGTTTTTTTAAAATAATTATGGGCCAGCAGGTGGTGTCGTGGTTAAGGTGCTGGATACTCTCACATGCCTGACCATGGTTTGAGTCCTGGACCTGGTGGCTTGCTTTCTCACTCTCTCTCTGATCAAAGTGAAATGAATGAATACATGAAATTAAATAAATAATTCTTAAAAAATTAATTTTTATGCTGGAGGGCAAATACATGCCTGAGGGACACAGAGAGAGAGAGAGTTTGTGAGGAAACCCATGCACAAGCAAGCACCCCTCAACCAGGACTCGCCACACTGTAATCTTTTTCTTCCAATTCCCCTTACTCTCAGGGTCTCTGGGCATGTGCGCATATGCCCAGCATGTGTACCACCAGGACGAGGACTCAAACCCTGGTCAGCCATGTGAGATCTAGCTTCATCTGCACAGTACTTAACCACAGTGCCAGGGGATCAGCCTCTGGTCCCATGTGAAATGGCACTGCTACTGTTACCAAGTGAAAGAATCTGTCCTTGCCAGCAGGACAGATGTTCAGGTGTTCAGCAGCTAATTTGTCCCCAGCAGAGATCTTGCAGCTGAGCTCATCAGCACTCATTCTTCATCCCCATAGAACCACCTTCTCCCCTCTCTCTTTACTTCTATCTCTTTTCTGCCTCTCATTGGCTGGAGTATAAACTGTTGGTGTTTTTCAGCTCTGTTGCAAACTAGAGCAGAAATTTGAGCTAACATTATTACATAGTTCATCTTTTCTTCAACCCAAAATACTTAAAACCTGAAACCTAAAACTCAAGTATAAAAGTCAATATAAATAATCTTTCTTTACTGTCACCAAAATATGTAAGATTTTGTATGTAGGATGGTTTATCAGAGTGCCATCTTGCCCTGCCCTTTCAAATAGGAGACATGTGTTGGGAGCTCTAGGGACTAAGCATTGGCTACTAATGGCTTTGAACCTCAGGGAGAGATGGAGTGGGTAAGAACTGTTATTTAGTAAATGATATTCTGAGTCTCAGAATTGTTTATATGGCGATAAAACAGAGCTTATGCTCTAATTCAATAGTCAGTGCCCAATATGTGCCCAGCACCTTCCTAGGCCCTGGGAATAGAATGGCAGACAAGAGAAACTTTTGCCCTCACAGAGCAAGAATCTAAGTCTAAAAGAGGAGATGGACAGCAAATAAATAAGCAAATAGGATTTCTCTTCACATTTCTGAGAAAGACAGTATCAAAAGGTTAAAAAGGAGAAACTTTGCAAATAAATATTCAATACGACTTATCACAATGGCAAAAACGTAGTGCATAAGGCTTGATTTTTTTTTTTTTTTTTTTTTTTTGTTTGTTTTTTTTTTTTTTTTTTTTTTTTTGCTATAGGGCGCATGTGCTCGCCAGAAAGACAGAGAGACTCAGAGGGACAGAAAGTGAGAAATCATTCCCCGGTGCGATGGCCACCCCACAATCCCTTCTCCTCCATTCTCCTCTTGGGATCTTAGGCATGCACGCAAGCACAAGCTCCCAGCATGAGTTTAAGCCACTGGGTATCGGACTTAAACATGGTTGACTACATGGGAGTCCAGTAACATAGCCATTACGCCAACTGCTGGTCCCGATTAACTTGTATTTTTATCACACTTTGATCTTTTATGTCTCCTTTGTTGTTTTTCCTTTAAAGACTCTCTAAGATAGTCTTAATTGGGCATAGAATGTTTCTGGAATTTGAAATCAGATGCATTTTTCCCAAAGCACTTTTTTGTCTGTGCTTCACTGAGTGTGACGCAACAGAACTCGGAAATAAAACACTTGTTCTGTGGTTACTTCCTTAGTGGTACCTGAATCACCTGACACTTTTCTTGAAAAGGGCCATAAAGTAAATATTTCAGGCTGGCAGGTTGTGGGAATCCCTGTTGCAGCTACTCAGCTCTGCTTTATGACTAGAGCAGCCATGGACAGTATATTAATGAAGGAGTGTGGCTGTATTCCAATAAAATTAATCATGAAAACAAACACTGGTCTGGTTTTGGCCTACTGATTATAATCTGCTGGCTCCTGGATCAGAGATAAATGTGACTTTTCTGAATTTCTTTTTTTTTAAATTTATTTATTTTACATACTTTCACTGAACACCACCACAGCATACAAAATGCAATTTTCTAGTCAGGATACACTGTAAAGTGGCTTAATCATACATGTAATCAACAAATAATTTTCCATTTCTTGTTTCTTGTGTGTGTGTGTATATATATATATATATATATATTTACTCCCCTATTTCTCACCCTCTGCCATTTCCCGTCCTCCTCCTACCCTGTCTCTGGTATCTGCAGTTGCATTCCATTCCTTTATTATTTTCCATATTGATTCACAAAATATCTTTTTTTCTTTTTGGAGAGGTTTTTGCTACAGGGCACGTGCGCTTGCCAGACAGAGAGAGATGGAGAGACAGAAACTGAGAAATCACCCCCTAGGGGGGATGGCCACGCCGCAGTCCCTTCTCCATTTTCCTCTCAGGATCTTGAGCATGCATGCACATGCGCCCGGCGTGAGTTTTAAGCCACCAGGTCCGGGATGCGAACCACGGTTGACTACATGGGAGTCCAGTGACATAGCCATTACGCTAACTGCTGGTCCCCCAAAATATCTTAATTATAGCTTATATGCATATCTGTGAACAAAAGTTGACTTTAGGCATGAAACTCTGTGGGTAGAATGAATATACTATAAAATAGCAAAGAGCTAAGGCTGCATAGCTTACTGTGGTCACTAAATAGGTATTTTTAAATACATTTTTTAATTTCAAGAAATTCAGTTTTAGCTTTAATAAATCAAAATTTAAAAATGTTAAGAGAACTTAGCTTAATACTTACAGCCAGAAAACAGGTTAGGATTCTGTTAGAATAGCATGTACATGGACCTGTCCACAACTCGAGAGAAGACAAAACTCCTTAACACTGGAAAACAAAGCACAGAAGATCAATAATGTTTTAGTCAAAAGTCATAAAATTCTATTTTCACCAGTTCAAACTCATGTACTTTATCTTCTGTTGTGCTCTGATCTTTCCGTTTAATTCCGGAAGATAGCATTCAACTCTGGACTTGTCTCTACCATTAAGCTGGCTATTTTCTTAGTTGTTTTAGAACTCTTTTTTTGAGAGGTTTTCGTTATAGGGCACATGCGCTTCAGAGACAGACAGAGACATAGAGACAGAAAGCGAGAAATCACCCCCCCGGGGGGATGGTCATGCCGCAATCCCTTCTCCTCCATTCTCCTCTCGGGATCTTGGGCACGCACGCACACGCGCCCAGCGTGAGTTTTAAGCCACCGGGTCCGAGACACAAACCGCGGTTGACTACATGGGAGTCCAGCGACATAGCCATTACGCTAACTGCTGGGTCCCAAGTTGTTTTAGAACTCTTTATTTCTGACTTTTCTTAATTTCTAAACTAGTATCCCAAGGAGTTAAGGAGAATAATAATCTTTATGTACAAATAGTCTCAACCTATTACATGAAAAATTTTTTTTTGACAGGTTTTTGCCATATGGCGCATGTACTCACCAGAAAGACAGAGACAGAGAGACAGAAAAGGAGAAATCACCTCCCAGGAGGGATGGCCATGCCACAATTCCTTCTCCTTCATTCTCCACTCAGGATTTTGGGCACCATGCACATGCACCCAGTGTGAGTTTAAGCCACCAGGTCTGGGACTTGAACTGCAATTGACTACATGGGAGCCCAGCAACATAGCCATTACACCAACCGCTGGTTCCTACATGAATTCTTGCATAAACTTTGATTGTATTTTTTAGAACCTGTAGTATGGTTATTATAGAGTTGCTGTTACACTAGTAGAAACCAATTTTCATATTGGTGGCTTCTAATGGAGTATTGTAGAGTAGTAGTATTTCACAACCTGGGTTAAATTTTTTTTCTATTTATGAAAATTTGGAGATTTAAAAAAAATTGAGAAAACAATACATTAAGCATATACAAGTCACCCTTATAATGATGCAGACCTTTTTTCCCCATAACCACAGGGTCATTTTTGTATTTTGTAGAATTCGCAATAATATATGTCCTCTGCTATGCAATCCATACCTTTATGATCATCTCAAAAATGCCTTTTTATAGTTGGTATGTTCACATTAGAATCCAAATAAATATTTGTCAGTCAGTCTCTAAAAGTTACTTAATTTAGAGCAGTCTGAGACCTCTCCACCCCTCTTTTTAATGCTTCTGTCTTCCTGCAGAACCTGGGTCAGCTGCCTTGTAGGTATTCCACATTCTAGATTTATTTCCTGGGACCAGCAGTTAGCGTAATGGCTATGTCGCTGGACTCCTATGTAGTTGACCGTGGTTTGAGTCCCGGACCTGGTGGCTTAAACTCACACTGGGTGCGTGTGTGTGCGTGCCCAAGATCCCAAGAGGAGAATGGATTGT